TACTGTAGTTGTTAACTTTGTACAGCTAAGTCTTTCTGTTCTAATGCACTGTTTTTATTTCATAGAGTTTTAGAATACATGAATCAGTAGTTGATAACTTTAGACAACATTTGTTAAATTTTCCTAGGTAAATTGTTACCCTTTTATTCACTTTTCCCTGTTGTAGGATTCTCCTTTGGAAACACACAAGCATCTCAACCTTCTTCAGGGTTCTCTTTTGGGAATCCAACCTCAACTGGCTTTAATTTAGGAAGTAACCCAAGTTCTGGTGGCTTCAGCTTTGGAAACTCTAATCCAACTTCAGGTGGCTTCAGTTTTGGAAGCTCTAATCCATCTTCAGGTGGATCAACAGGTGTTACTCCTGGAAACACTGGTGCAGCTAGTGGATTTTTTGGCCTTGGAGCTCAGAATGCCTCTGCAACTGGAGGGGTTGCTGGAGTTCCAGCAGGTGGAACCAGCACATTTGGATTTGGTAGCAACCCTGCCACTTCAGGAGCACAGCCCACCTTTGGAACTGGCTTAAGTCAGACAACTTCAGGAGGTGGTATGTTAGATAGCCATCTTTATAGTTTTAAGAATATGTTATTTTGACAAGTATTGTCACTGATAGTGATTAACAATAATGGAAACATGTAAAATACAAGTGTAACTTGTTTTAGGTTTGTATATTGTAACAATAACATGACAATGTTCATTATTAGTTTCATATTTATGAAAATTGTGTGCTTTGTAGGTGGTGTAGAAAGACAGTTGACACAGTACTGATAAGTTTTGAATGAATATATAAATTAACAAATGTAAATAATCATGTTCAGCAGTGTGCTCTTCCCATGTAAGATATGTAAACAAGATTTTTCAATAGAAAATGTGGATCAAAATGGTTTGAAAGAATCAGTAATGTGCATGTAAAATATATATCACTGAAATAGAACTTCATGAAAGTGTAGATGAACACCTCTAGGTTATATGTAGTTTTTGCTGAAGTAAAGCTTGCCTTTGGTGTGGAACACACAGTGTGAATTAAAGAATTGAAACACATTCTCAGGATGTGGAAAGAGACCTTGAATCGTAAGAAACTCTCTCTTCAGTTTTTGTTTAATTTTTGTGCAGTCAAACGTATTGAGATTCAATTTCGTACTAGTAAAAATAATATGCAGAATCATTTAAACAGTGTTCAAAAGCCATTAACTGCATATTTCATAGCAGTAAGCTATAACTACAGTTACCTTATTTCAGTTGTATTTTTCAGTTTACAAGTAAACTGTGATAATTTGTCAGCAAAATGGTTGCTTTTAAAATTTATTAGAGGGTTTTTATCTTTCTGTTGATTATTAAAAGTTGGCAAGCTTATGCTGTACAACCTACAGTCATTAATTGTGACATTAAGTCAATCTTATATATCTGAATAATTTGAATGGTACTGTTTACATATTTTAATTGGTAGCATTTCTATGTTAACCAAATAAATGTTTCATAGGTGCTAATGTAACATTTATAATTGAAATATACCTTTATCTAGCTTTTCTTTAAAATTGTGGAGTAATACCAAATTACTACATTTTGAATCTATAACATTATGGAGCAGTTGTGCAATAGAAAAATTTCTAAACATTATAATTTTTTAATAAATCAACTTTTGTGTTTCAAGTAATGATAAGGTAAAAAATATTCAATTATGAATGTTTTATTCACATGTACATGTGTACATTAAGGTGGCTTCAGTTTTGGAACCAACACAACTACCACATCTAGTACTGCTTCATTGGGAACTGCTGCTGTTACTTCTGCTTCAATTGGGTTGCCATTATCAACACCGACGGGAGGTTTTAATTTTGGGGTCCCTGCTACTACCACATCTGGGGGCCTGTCTTTTGGAACCACTTCAACTACTACGCCTAGTGGAGGGATTTTTGGAGGAACATCAGGAATAACATTTGGAGCTACGCCTTCCCAAATAGGTACTACAACAGTAGGAGCTACAGTGACAACTACTACAAAACCAACAGGTAAAGGTTATATATATTACAAATATTTAAAAATGTATCATCATCAATTAACTCTTTCAACCCAGGCTCGGTCACTGGGACCGACCTTATAACAATTTAGTGCTTGTTATAGTTTTCATGCTATAACTTTTAAATTAGTAAGTGAATGTTAACAAAATTTGGCAGTTTATCAGTAAACATTACAATGCTTTCAAACGCAAAATATATTTATTTATTTATTTATTAATTTTTTATAAGTTTTAAGGTTTTTAAAGCAGCGTTTCTCTCATGCTTTTTTTATTCCACATCTTGCTTATCTATCATGCAAAGTAATTTTCATCTTAACATTAAAAATATTTTTGTGCATCAGAAATGCAAAATCTTTATAATGCCCAAATAGTTATCAAATGTTTCTTAAGAAAAAACTTTATCTTCTATCTGTTATTTTCAATAATTCATCTCTGTACAGGTTTGGTAGAATAGACCAATCTAACAACCACCATAAAAAAAAAAAATTAGGAAATAAATATAAATTATGCCTCTTTCATTCTAGAATTAACACAGATTATAACACAAAAGCATAGATGTTTAGACTAAATAGCTTATATATATATATATATATTATTTTTATTATGTTGTCCTTTCACCCGTGCCTGGCTAACAATACAGAAGTTACAATGACGTGGCTCACATGCACTCATATTACGGTATCAAAAAACATAAAGGCGACCTTTGGTCTGTATAAAGTAACTTGTCTTGGCTGTGTTTTATTGATCAGTATTTTTTAAAATACAGTCACATTTAAATTATTATACATTATATATGTATATAGATTATTGCTACTTTGAAATAAGTTCTTAAAGTTATTTTTCCTAAAACATGCCCCTCAGTGGCCCAGCGGTATGTTTGCAGACTTACTATGCTAGAATCCGGGTTTGATACCCGTGGTGGGCAGAGCAAAGATAGCCCATTGTGTAGCTTTGTGCTTAATTATAAACAAACAATTCTAAAACATAGAACAGTAAATAAAGAAGTAAAGCAAACAATTATATCTTCTAGTTGTGACCTTTGTACTCGGTTGCTGCTTGATGTAGGTTGCTAAGCCCTTGAAATAATTGCACATGGAGGATATGAAACAAAATATAATTTTTTAGGTTTTATATGTACTTTTGAATAACTAAAAAATTATAAATTACTACATCAATACCATAGAATTCCACTATAATTTATCTAGCTCAGTAACTAAGCTGTATTTGGGTCTAAAAAAAATATGAAATTTCAAGCAGACTAAAGACACAACTAACCTTATTGAAATCTTGATTCAAAAGAAAGAAATGGCAAAAGCAATGTTAGAAAGGCTGAGAAAACCACTAGGGGGACATTCTGAGCTTCTGATTGGTTATTCATATCGTGTATATAAGGGAGCATTTCCAAAAATGGAAAAGGGTTAGCGGGGTGACATTGTGTATGATTTATTACACGAGCAATATCTTAGCAACTAGAAAAGATAAGACATTCTTATTTTGTATTCTAGCTTGTCAATATCTGTAATTTGAGTTTCTAATTCGTATGAAAGTATAGACTTAGTATTTTGACTTCACAAACATCTAATTTGAACCGGTGCTGCATTTAACACACCATGTGACACACAAAAATTGATGTTTATCTGTATGTTTTTTCATATTTACTTTTAAATTAACAAGTTGAGTAATGTATAGTTCTAAACTTTGAATTATAGTCTACAGTTTGGTACCAAACTTATTGACATAAATTCATGAAATAGTAGTTCAATAAAATTTTGTATGCGAGTCAACAAAGGAGATAACATGGCCTTTTACCTGTGACCCATCTCGAAAAGGTTAATAAATATTTGATTCTGAGTAGCTACCAAAGCAAAAAAGTAATGGTAACATATTACAAATGCATGTGTTTTGTTACATTTTAGTATAAAGTCAGTTTATTCTTAAATTGATCTTTGTTGCTTTTTTGTTCAGATTTAGTAGCATGTATTACAAATGTTACTGGTATATAGTTGAACCTGATGAAGTGTAATTTTTTTAGAGATTTAGTGATGTCATAAAAAATGTAATTACATTTTATTCTGTACACTGAAAGCTAAACCTTAATGGTCTGTGGAAGTTTTTAAACATAGATATTATTTATCTTCTTTAAATTCATTGGTTGATTATAAATGGTTTGGAAGCTACAATCAGGTTTTGTGATATCTGCCCTAAAATCTAATCAAGAACATTTCCTCCTCTTTAGGTTTAACATTTGGGATTCCTCTTGCATCTGGACCAGCACCATCAGTAACAACATCTGCTGCAACAGGTAATCATACTATATTAATTTACTCATATTTTAAAGATTTATGTATAGACAAAGATGGAAAGATTGAATGGGTGCTATTAATGAAGAACTTTTTAACAGACATGAAACATTAATGCTTTAACATACCTCTCTTATGTCTAGTGCAGAATAACTTGAAGACAATACTTTTTTTTTTATAGAGCTACATTGAGGGGGGGGGGGATAGATTTTGATATCAGTATATTAGTTTTATTTCTATTAAAACCCCTAAATGTTGACTAGTGTCAATTTTATGCACATCATATGGTTTGTCTTATTGCATTGCAAAGAAAAAGAAATACAAAATGAAATTCTTTGAAATTTGAGATGCATTTTTTACAGATTCTTTAGTTACTGAGAAATAAAATTTCTTAATTTTATATACGATGTTTGTAGGAATTGTCAGCTTTCAAAATTCAAAAAGTTTTTTTCCTTAAGAAATACATAAAAATGCTTCCCATTGTTGTACATTTTAATGGCTTGCTTTTATGTCTTCATACATTGTTATAAAGCTTTACAATAAACTTAAATTTTCATTGTTTTGATTGGAAAAACCCCACATAGTTTCACTGTGATTATGATCATTGGTTTGTTTTTATTGTAGTTAAGCGCAAAGCTACACATAGGGCTATCTGTGCTCTGCCCACCATGGGTATCGAAACCCAGATTCTAGCATTGTAAGTCCGCAGATATACCACTATGCCACTCGGTAGCTTATGATCATTGATGTAAAAAGTGATTTTTTTTTACCTTAACAAAATTATAAGCAAGCTGATAAGTTTTTTTTTCTTAATCAGATTTCTGTTAATATATTTAGGTTTTAAACCTATTATATATTCATTTATTTATAGGTTTTAAATTTCTTTTCAGTCATTTTCTTTGTACATTCAAGCAGTTATTTAGGTAGATAAGGCCTAACAAAGAACAGCCTTGTCTGTGAAACAAAACTTGGTATGATCAAGTGCAAATTGATCTAATTAAACTTAAAAATTCTCAACCTGATCTTTTTCCACACACACACATTTCCTATCATATTGCAATATCATACATCAAAAGAAGTTTAAAAAACATATTGGTTGTACTTGTGGTACAGCATCTTTTCTTGCAGCAATATATCATCAACCTAAGCTTTTATTATAAGCACTGTTCCAATCTTTATGCGAGCCTCTGCTGAATTGGAAGTCATATTGGCATATGACATTGAAAAGAACAAAGAAATTTTATTACATGTTTAGATCACTAGCCTATGATTTTCCAAAGCAAATATATAAGCTGTTTACAGCATGACAACTCTGGTTGAATAACAATAATTGATTAAAATATATAAAACCTACTAGTATTGAAATTACAAGGTTCAAATTGACACTACTTTCTTTAAAGCTATTTTAACTTTTCCCCTAGGAAGCTACAAATGCTCTGAAAAGTTCAAGAAATTTACAATCACTAATGTTTTTGTTTGTAGCATGCTGAAATCAACTAAAAATCAAAATTTGGAATTTTTTATAAAATTAAATAAATAAAACTTTTCTTTATTGAATAAATTTCAACAATGAAATATTTTAAAAATATATGGAAGAACAGCTACAGGTATATTCTCTTCTTCAAGTGGAGCATGGAGTGAATATTTTCTATTGAGAGAAGTAACTTAAAATATGTCAAATGTACTTGTATAGGTCAAACATATTACTTAAAGATGACTTTTTATATAGTAGCATATTGTGAAATCATTTCTGAGGGAAAACATTTATACTTATTTGTAATAGTAGATCATCTGACACTAATTTTGATAAGTGTGTTACATAAAAATTACTTGTGAATTGGTACTTTACTCTTTAAATATTATGAAATACTGTGTTAATGTGCAAGTTAGAAATTTTTCATTTTATGTTCTAGTGGTATGATATCAACACTTGTTCTGAAACTGAATATAAGTTTATTCTTAGAGAAGTGTCATTAAAACTTGCTGTTAAGTTGTTTAGGAAGTTTAATATTAGTTGTTGTTATTGTTGTTTAATCTATATACATATAAAAGCGAAACTGTATGTTTGTCTGTCCACTAACTCCTCATATGCTATTTGACCAATCACCACCATACTTGGCATGGTGACTCCTACAGCCCCCAGAAGTAGCATAAAGGGGCAAAATTCCCACCTTGTTTGCCACAAAAAATAATATTTAGCTTTTAATTCAGTTTCTGTCTGCCAGTTACACTCCTTTTGATAATACCCAACACTATAAGTCATTGCTTAGCAACAAAACTATCACAATATTTTTGTTAGGCCAACAATGTTGTTTATTGAACAGTGTTTGAATGCATAATGTACATGAGAATTTGTGGTTTATTTTTATTTTCTCTGTTTTTAATCATTTTGTTTATGTAAAAGCAAACAGTTGAATTCAGAAACAACTTCTTAAGTTAGTGTTGGAAAGTTTCTGATCAATCAAACAACTACATTACTATTCCAGATAAATGTGGTAACTTAGTTATGCAGAAGAGCTAAAGGAAAAGGTGTTATCTAATATTTGTCAAAATTATTAATAGTTATGCAAAATAGCAGTGATACTGTTTATGACATAAATGATCAATTAATGCAAAATGGACAGGATTTCACCTACAGCTCAACTGTCGGTGTTCCAGTTACAGTTGATGCTGTAAATTACCCAATTGAATTCCAAAATTCTTTTGAACCACCAAGGATGTCAGGTCACATTTTGAAATTAAAAGTTGGTTCACCAGTAATGTTGTTGAGAAATCTTGATCCTCTAAAATTATGTAATGGCTACAAGTTTAGTTGTTAAGACTTTACTGCTTCATGTTATTGTGATTACCCCTTTGAATTTAGAAGGCTTCAACACCCAGTTACAATTTGTTTTGCAATATTGATTAATAATGCACAAGGTCAAAGTTTTAAGGTTGGTGGATTGTTCCTAAAGCAGCCTTGTTTTTCACATGGTCACTTCTATGTAGGATATTAAAGGGTTGGATCTCCTCAAAATCTGTTTATATTATCAGAATAAGGAACAACAGTCATTGTGGTATATCAAGAAGCTTTAACTTAGATTGTGTAATTTTTGTCCTGAAAATCAAATATATAAATTAAAATTGTTAAGAAAATTGAATTTTCTAAATATATGTTCTTAAAAGTAATTTCATTGTGTTTTTCAATACCTATTTCAAGTAATTTGGATACCTGTGCAGAGAACAGATAATTCAGCTAGTATTATATAATTTTATAATTGAATAGTTCTTCAGTTTGGAGTAACTGGACAGGCTGCTGTTACCACTGCATCTTCCTCTACAGGATTTGGGATTCTGCAAACATCCACATCAGGTAGGACTCACATTTTACTGTTTATCCAATTTAATCCACTTCATTATTTGTTTGTTTGTTGTTGTTTTTTATTTCTAAATTTAAATCGAAAAATTTATAACATTTAAGAAACCTTGAAAGATAAACATAACATTCATTGTGTAGTTTGTGACTCAATTTTTGTGTGAGGTCTAGTTTTTATTTTATTTGTTATTCCTTTTATTCATGCTAGAATACCCCTGCTATAAATAGGAAGGCTAGGACTATAATATGACTGTTTGAAATTGACACGTAGATGAATGGATATATGGATAATAAGTTTCCATCCATTATTAAAATAATCTAAGGAAAATTTTGTGAATTTCATAAGCAGAAACTAGAAAATTGTCAGTCATTCAGATTATTGTCGGCGTCTGTGCTAGGCATGAGAAACTAAACAATAGCTAAGAACTCCAAACAGCTCAAGAGACCCCTAATTCAAGGGGATTTTTTTTTTCATCAGAAGTTTGACTTTTGCTGTTTTAATATTGTATTAATTTATGAAAAAATCTTTTCTATGAAAGTGACCCAAAAATGCATCACTGAGTTATGGATGAACATTTAAAAATTGTTGCAAGACAGCAAGACACTTCCTGGTCAGGCACATGTGCAGTGTTGATTGGTTACTGCAATAGACACATAGTATGCATGCTTTGAAAAAGATACTGGCTCAGTGGTTTGAGCATAGGAATGACTTTTAACAAGTGTATTAGTATGTATGTTGGTGTATTTTTGTTTTGTGGAAATATTGCAGTTAGTATTTTTTTTAGGGACTAGGTGAAGGTGTCCAAAAATATTCCAGCTTAGAGCACCCAATAGGGTAGCACAGCCTATGATCACCATACTTATTTTATTCGTGAGAAAATCTAATTATTAAGAATTTGCAAACTTGGTTCATATTTAAAATTATATACAAGATATTTTGTTGCTTGCTTCAAGTACAAAAGCCTGGCTGTTAGCATTCTTTCAAATATCAGCACCTGCTGAAAAGTTTGAGGTTCCTCTAAAGTATTTGAAAATCATTGGAAACATTTTCAGAAATTCATATGATCAACAAAAGTGAAGAAAAAAATACAATGTTCTCTAGTAATTAGTAAGTTAAATGTTTTAAGTATGGTATAAAAAGAAATTTATAAAAAACTGGCATTCTTCATTTCCAGGTCTCACAAACAGGAGAGATGTAATATGGAAAAATCTTGATTGTGATACTTTTAACTACTTTTGTATATCAGTCCTATTTACTTTACTGTTTTTCTAATCTTTTCTACTAGAAATGTAAAAAAAAGCAAAAAACACTTTTTTTTTACATGCAGGAATCACTGGTCAACCTGCAACAACTTCAGTTACTAAGACAACTAGTACAGGTAATTATGGGTTTTTAACTTTTTAATAAGCAAAACTTTTAATCATTTGTTTTCTCTTATGCTGTTTGTATGTGGCATTGTTGAACTTTAGTTCATAATTTAAAGACTTATTAGCAAACAGAAACTTTGTTTTTTTATTTCTGTATGAAAAGGGTACTTATTGTACCAATCTTGCTCATAGTGTAAAAAACAAAAAGACACTGAAAACTCTCATGAAAAATAAAAACATACATACACACATATATATATAGATACACATATATAGTAAAACTTATTTAAAAAAAGGAAATAACTACTGAAACTTTAGATTTTTCAGTAGTATGTATATAAGAGTGATGGAAAAATCCTACTGTTCAAATAGAGTAGCCCAAATTGTGATGGTAGTTGCTCTGTAAGTTAAAAATTAGGTCTTCTTTAGGTAGCTGTTTGACCTGAGAAAACGTTTTATAGCATCACGTTCCTGAAACATAATGTGTAGTTTACCACATAGTTCTAAAAATCTCTGTTGTCACCTCACAAGAGCTGACAGAATTGATTTTTTTGTGTGCTTATGACTGTGCTTTTAATGTGCTAACCCAATATCTCATAAAATACAAATTAAATATTTCTCAGTATAAGATAAATAAAAGGTACTAAGCAACAGGAAGTAGAAAGAGTTGATTATTTAGAAATTCAATAATCCTTTCTGCTCCTATTTGCAAGGGGTCTGCAGACAAAGAAAGAATATTGAAGTATGTGAATTGTTTTAGGGAACATCTGGAACCAGTAGAATATATTAAACTGGGAGAAAAAAAAAGCTAGATGTCTGGTATTCAGTTACACAAAATGTCTACCTGAAAAATTTTTTTAACATTAGTTTGCAGCCAAGTATTGTAGTTACATACATGTATGATCTAGATTTCTGTGTTTCTTCAGTGATTTTCTTACTAAAATCTTGCATGGTGATAAAGATTATTTACTTTCAGCTCCCTTCTCATGCTAAACTTGAATATGTGGTCCAAATTTATTTTCAATTTTCTCAATGCACAAAGTCACAGATGTGATTTTGATTTTTGACACTTTAATCAATGCTTTTATGTGTACTCCAGGTTTCTCATTTGGTGCAGTACCTTCCTTTCTCAGTAGTACTTCAACAGCTACAACCAGTACTTCTGATGGTTTCAATATTGCAATGAGTAAACCTTCCAGCACGGTAACCTCAGCATCTGGCTTTTCCTCACTTGTAACAACAACGACTTCCACATCAATAGGGTGAGTTTTCTTTTGTCTTGTAGAATTATATCAGAGATGTGTTCTCCCAAGGTACCTGATGGTAAGAGAAGGTGTGTATCAGCAAGTTGCATTTAACTCTCTCTATATGGGCTCGGTCAAATTGACCTACCGTGTGACCAGTTTGTACTCGTTAAGAAGATGTGTATCAGAAAGTTGCATTTAACTCTCTCTATATGGGCTCGATCAAATTACCTACCGTGTGACCAGTTTGTACTCATTAAGAAGGTGTGTATCAGCAAGTTGCATTTAACTCTCTCTATACGGGCTCGATCAAATTGACCTATCGTGTGACCACTTTGTACTCATTTAAAGTCATTATAGTTTTGATAATACTAACTTTTAATATAGTATGTGTATCTTCACAAAATTTGGCAGACTTTCAGTAAACATTACAAGTCTTTTACATGTTAGAAAATTCTTAGTGAAGTGTTTTTAATAAGCTAAAAAAGATTTGTCCATGAATATATTGAGTCTATTTGTTGACTAGTCTGAGTGCAAAGTGATTTTCATTTTAAGATTAAAAATACTTCATCTCAAAAATATCAAATTTCATTTTCGTAATCTCTAAATCCTCCAAAATACATTTCAAAGTTGTTGTTTTTTTCAGTACAACTTTATTTTATTTATTTTCTCTACCCTAACTCTATACAAAGTTGACCAATTTGACTGACCACGTAACTACCCAAAAAAAATCGAACTAAATCTAAATTACCCTTTTTTCTTTCTAGAATGAGTTAAAATTGTAACATGAAACTACATTTGTTTATCCAAAGTAGCTTTAAGCTTCTAACAGTAGACATCTATTTATTGTTTTATTGCTCCTTGAATCATGTCTAACTTCTAATCGAGCCACTATAAGTTGTAAATCACTTGGAAAACATGCGATTCATATTATGCTATTGAATTACATTACCCACGAGCTACTCCAAGCTGCTTGTGTGTATGCCTTGTGGAAAAATTTTATTATATTATTATTATTATTAATTATTTTATCTAATCTAACCTTAACTAGCCTAAAAGGTATCCTATTTTTACATTTTAGTTACTTTTATAATAATAAATAATGTATATAAAAATAAGAAATAAAGTACTTATCTAGGCCTTCTTTTAATTATTATTTTTTTGCTGTCAACTTTCGATGAAACTTAACCCTCCTTTTTTTATACTAATGGCAGTAGCACACTAAATAAATTTCATTTAATTAAATAATGCACCAAAGAACATAGAATAATAAAAAGCAGACAATGTCCCATGACTATCACAATTTTCCTGGCTTTCTAACTATGTGACAAAAACCATTACAAGCTAGTCGTTAACTTTCTTATGGGAACAAAGCTTGTACTGAAAGAAAAATTGACAATTCTCTGTACAGAAATCAACATAATATAATATATCATTTGATAGATGAAAACTTTGGCTTTCTATTGGTTATAAACAATATAGTATTAAATGTAAGAGAGAACTATTAACAAATTTTGAGAGGATATGACAGTTGGGTGTGGTAAGAGGGGTCTACTTCTCTGCTTGGTGGCTCTGTAACCAAGCAAGATTGAAGGCTGTAAAAATTATGCTATGTCTGAGCAATGATGATATTATAGCAAGTAATTTACATTAAATTTCATACTTATTGGAGGGGTGGTGAATAAATTAAAGAAGGGAGAATGACTAGAGAAAAAACCAGGAGAAATTTAGGCTTTTTTAATATAGCCTTATAAAATTAAAAACTTAAAACTTTTATACTAATATAATATGGATTATTAGCTACAATTTTATACTATACTAAATACTAATTGGTATAACATAAACAAAATATAGTTGAATTTAATTTTTAATATAACTCACTAAAAACTTTGTGATGTGCCGGAAAGGATGCCTATGGTGAGAGGGTTAAATGATAAGTACAGTTTGGTTGTTGTTACTAGCCTTGAGTCAGACAGATGTCAGTAGATTGTATCACAGGGCAATGCTTTGATGGAACTTAAGTTGGGTAGAATAACTGATAGAGAATTTGGATTAGTAGATTCCATTTATTAAATGTTAACATTAAGCATGGTGGATGTGAAAGGTACAAAGTTAGCAGCAGGCTATGGAGGATTGTTTTAATAATAATTGATGTTTGAGGAATAGAATTAAGGTATGAAACAGCAATTAGCTGTTATGGAATATTTAGCAATTGTAATTCGTATCAAAAGTGTACATTTAGGAGTAAAAAAGCTCAGCAAAACTAATTATGATCTCAATAAACCAGGACTAGTATTGAGAAAAGTTTTCAAAACTTTTATGGTCATTAGCTTATAACTTTACAATTATTGAAAGCAGGATTTCATAAATTACAAAGTGGCATTCAGTGGACTGAAATTATGTCAACAATATGTGTTTAAAATGAGTATTAACTGTTTCAGCGTGGGCTCTGTCCCTGGGATTGACCTAGTAACCATTTTGTGCTTGTTATAGTTTTTATGCTATAACTTTTAAATTAGTAAGCATGTTTTCACAAAATTTGGCAGATAATCAGTAAACATTACAAGGCTTTCATATGCAAAATACAAGATTTTTTTTTATTATGTTTTAAGGTTTGTAAAGCAATGTTTTTCTCATGCCTTTTTTTCTTTCACATGTTTCCTATCCAACATGGA